AGAAGGACGGCACCATGAGAATGTGTATTGATTACAGAGAACTCAATAAGGCAACTGTGAAGAACAAATATCCTCTCCCTAGGATAGACGACCTAGGATACATTTCACTTCATTTTGGTTGGTGTCATCTCCATAGGTTTATGTAATTGAATAAAGCTAAAGCTTGGATTAGTTACACATGGAATTGGAGGTTGTGTTTCATGTAAATTGAACTATGTTGCATTGAAAATAACTTCAGGTTTTGGAATTCTCCTCTGTTCTCTCGGGCTGATCTGATCTGAAGTGGAATCGCGTGCATAACTGTTGGATAGGGAGAAAGAAGATGAGTGGAGGAGTTCAAGAAGAAGGGATTTGGGTTCGATTCCATCTTTTTGATGTTTAGAAATGTTTGATTTTTGATGTTGGAGCCCACTGTTGGTTTCTGATTTAGCATTGCCTACCCTAAATCTCTACTTGATTGCAAAATATGTATACTAAGGATCAGATTCACACCATTAATATATGGAATATTTTGATTCAAAAATGGTGGTTTTTTTGAAGTTTTGATTTTGATTTTGATTTTGGTGATTATAGAAGGGAATTGTATTTGGATTACTATTTTGATTCAGATTTAGGGGTTGTTTACCACACGATTATCCGGAAAGTGTTTACCATTGTACAACTTAATACTAACACTTACTTACCGGGTAAAATTTTAATCCATAAAAACCGCATTGTATGCAACAATTTACCCGATAAACGTCAACCATGATAAGAGACGACGACCCTCACTTACCAGGTAAGACTCTCATCCTTGCTTTCGCTCTTACCTAGTAAGATTCTTGATCCTTGCCATATGCATCCAGTAAGGTAATGTGACTTGTAAATCGCTTAGCCAAACAAGTGTTTGATAAATGACCCCTTACACTTCAGACATTTGTCAGTTTACAAAAACAATCTTACTGATTCAGATTTTAGAATTTAATGCTACCTCTTATCAATCAGACGTGAAACAAGACTTCAGAATTCAGCACCTCCTAAAAAACAAATGCCACCTAGCAATCCATTTTAATGGCCAAGAATGTTATCGGATAAAGTAGGCGAGGGTGGTGCTCTATCGAATACGCACTTAACTTGTAAGCGTTTGGTAAACAGTCTCTTACTCAAACTAACTTGCTTCGATACTGATTTGATTATTAAGTCTTATGGGTCTAAACCATACATTAGTCTAAAACATACATCATATTTAAGAGAATCCCAACCAAGATGGATAAACCAAACTACTACAAAACAAATCTACTATTTCCCACCCAATAAGTCTAGGATTCGGCTTATTCTGTCAGCTATGCCTATATATGACTGTTTGGTAATGACTTAATGATATAGAAAGTGACGGTAAGCTTCTAGAAATGAGCTTTATGCAGAAAACCAAATTTTCTTCAAAGCTGTCCTTCCCATTTAAAAAAACACGCTCCATCCATCATTGAAAACCCCTTCCAATCTATACAGATAATCGGATTGCTTACTGGTAAAATGCAAGTCCTGTTTCGAATCTAGAATCGAGAAGATGTAGGAGAAAGAAATGAATGATGATGGATTTGGTACCATAATAAAAACTATGGAAACATTTCCATCAGCCATAAAGCTTCATGGTCTATATTGTTGCATTCATGACCTCCAAGCCAGACAAAAAACAGCTGTAAAAAACGCATTTTCAAAAGGACAGAACCTGCAGCAGATCAAAATGAAAATTTCCATCATATTTACTCAAGATGGTGATTGCAATTTCATCCAACCAAATAAATGAATAGAAGTTAAAGATACCTCATATAGATTGAATGTACAAATTAACACCAACACCGGATTTACAAATGCGTCTTTTAACACATCAACAGCAGAGCTTCACGGGTTCGACCAAGCAGGCTCAGTGCCGTTGCAGCAATGTGGTGTCCGGTTAGCCCGGCTAGAGAAAGTTGTTCCATTGGTGATGCTTGCTCGACGTAGTTGTCTGGTAACACAATCGGCCTCCACTGGAAGGATTTTAATACATTTATGCCAGATTAAGGTCTATCCATTTAAATCATTCGACATAAAAAGATCGCTATAAACGAACCCAACTTGTGCAAAAGTGTGAGCAAAAAAGGAAAAAGAACCAAAATCAGTAAATAAGCAGGAGCAGAAAGGGAAAAAAAAATAGACAATATATGCAACATATAACAAGTGAGGAAACACATAACTCTCTATAGCCGACTTAATGGTAAATCGAGCTGTGTAATATTATGTGTTTGATGAAACAAAGTGATTTAACTTTTTTGAATCATCGCACATGGCTTTCAGTTGCAAAAGGAAATGCAAAATACCACTACACTTTGGAAGAATTTGCGACTATAGACAAAAATGGAAAGTACAACGTTTTTTTGTTTGCATTTAATTTCCATGAGTTATCTAAAGTCGCTCACGCATGCAAAGTGTAGTGGTATTTCATCGGCCAAAACTACAAGGGTCGGAAAGATGAAATGACGTAATGAAATACAATACCTTGATTGATCCATCAAGTTTGCCATCAAGGGTTAAAAACTGTGCAACATGTGATCCAAATCCTCCGATAGAGCCTTCCTCAACAGTGATCAAGAAGGAGTGGTTTTCACATAATTGTCTGACAAGTTTTATATCGAGGGGCTTGCAGAATCTTGCATCAGCAACTGTGACCTCGATCCCGAGTTCTGAAAGAAGGGAGTGAGCTCTAAGGCAGTTCTGGACCATATCTCCGTAGCCGAGCAAAGCAATGTCTTTACCCTCTACAAGAACTCTTCCTTTACCAATCTAGACAAGAGAAGGTATCAAGTAACCAAACCAAATGAATGCAGTATATCCCACACAAATGTAGGGTTCTTTTTTTTTTTTGGGGGGGGGGATGGGTAAGAAGTATGACGACCTTGCCTCTATCCCAAAGGGTAGACACCCTTTTTATGCAAACAAAAACAGAAATACAAGGAGACAGGTGAGAAAAGTAGCATAGTAACAATGTAACGTAGAAGTGTGTGCAAACGCATAATAGATACGGGTGAATAGAAAAAGGAAGCAGGGACAGGAGAAGGTATCAAATGAATTTTCTAAATCGACATCTGGGACACCATAAACATACAAGAACCCGTTGTTAAGAAAATGCAAAATGAACACTACAGTTAGCAGCAACAAACGGTTGTGGACAGATGTGGCAAGTACGGACAAAAGTGGCAAGTATGATGATTATTTTTGCATTACATTTCCATAATTTAACAAAAATGCTTATTCTTGCAATATGTACTTGTTCTTTTTTTTCCACGTAATTTTTCAGTTATACGTTTGTTTGCAACAAAAAGCAAAGTCCCAACAAGATTGATCCCTTTGGATCTTGGTCCATGATGGCCTTTTTATTGATTTTGAYGATTGGATCTCTCTATGAATGGAAAAGGGGTGCTTCGGATCGGGAGTAACCACTAGTGATAGGGCAAAAATCGGGGAACGATGGTGGGAAATTTTATCACTCGTTAAAATTATTGTTCGCAAGCAATAGATGGAGATGGTACCACATTTTACCTCAATGGGAACTCCATGGCATATAGAGCTGTTTGACTTCACAATGGCGCCTCTAGGATATCGGAAGCAGATTGGCCTATCATCAATGCAAGATGCAGTTGCCACCATGTTTGCAAGCTCAACTTCATCAGAAGGCGCCATCACTATCATGTTTGGCAAACACGACATGAAGGTTATATCAAAAGCTCCACATTTTGTGGGACCATCAGAGCCTACCAAACCAGCACTCGGAATCACAAAACGTACTGGTATCTTTTGCCGATCTACATCGTGAACCACCTAAAGAGGTGCAACAAGAACAGGACCAGTTAGACAATCATACTCTCCGCTGCCAAATTTTGTGCTAGTAGAACGTTATGGGCTTTCTAGATCCCACAACCTAATGTTTCACAATGACCTTTTTCCATCAATAAATACATCAAAATGCACAAGAAAACATAATATATATATATATATATATATATATTGCAAATAATATTGAAGCCATCTAGAAGTCAAAAACCGTGAAAACAAGTTACATGTATTGGTTCATAGATGAAACAACAAATGTGAAAACCAAACCCATGAAAATCAACCAAAACCATCCAATGAGTTTGATTTTAAGCTATGATTCATATTGTTTCACAAGTTTTGTTCTTGTTGTGTGAGTATGAGTGTGTTCCATGTATAAACGTAATTTTGCGTTTTTTTCACATGCAAAACATTCATTGACGTTCCATTATGAAACAACATTGTGTGCAAATTTGTTAAAGGCTCAAGGGGCACTTAGGCGCAAATGGGTCCCGGGGCCTAGGTGTGAGGCACAGTCGTGAGGCACGGGCCTCAAAAATGCGAGGTGCATTTTATCAAAATACATATACACACACACATACACATAGTTACACACAACTCAAATATGCATCAAAGCCTCTAATGCAGCAACCAGTAGTACTTCGACAGAGTCAGAAGGGAGAAAGGTTTAAAGCGTGAGCCGGGAGGGATAAGTTTTAAGGTCTGAGTATTTATAGAGAAGGCGGCTTGAAGTTCTAAGGATTGCTTATTTAATATTAGGGTTTGATTCTTGACATCTATTTAGAGCTCTTACTTTGAAGTCTAGAAGATGATAAGATGGAAAGAACTTAATTAACATTAAGGTTTGGCTAGGTATTTAATAACTCTTTATGAGGCGCGTCTAGGCCCACAAGGCGCCTCAGCCAAGGTGCAGTGCCTTAGTTTGACTTACGAATATGCCAAGCCTCGACTTTTAAAAAGCCCAGAACCTTGAGCCTTATGAGCCTCTGAGCCTAGGCGTGCTTTTAACAACTATGATTGTATGAACGATGAACAACACATACAAACTGATTTTCACGATTTCTATATGATTTTCCCCCTTTATATATATATATATATATATATATATATATATATACTTGGGATCATGGAAGATAATAAGAATGGTGAGAATGGTAAGAACACTTTCGAGCCTTTGGTTGAGTTGACTCTTTTGATCTAACTTCATCTACCTTAAAAACCTACATCTATTTTTATGTTCACAATTAGTTCCACTTTCACGAGCTTTTACATACACAATCACTTTTACATGCATTAATTTGTAAAGTTTCGATCATAATGATAAAAATAGGCAAATAAAAGTAGTTGAAGGTATATGAAGGTTATGTTCTCTTGCAAAAAAGTTGAGAAGGTGCAAATCAAAGGTTCAATGTGAATCATTGGTAAAGGAAACGTGGGTTCACATATGCATCTTCAAATGGAATTTTTTCAGGTTTACCAATGATTCACTTATGAACCACTGATTCACACCTCCTCAACTTTTTTGCGCTTCTAAACCTTCCACAATATATATACACACACATAGAGAGTTTAAAATACAAACCATGGAATTCTTACAAACCATACAGATCAGCACTTGTATTAGGAACCAATTGAGATATTTATAGAAGATGATAGAGTTCATTCATTATGATCATTGCTATAGATAAGGAAACAATCGAAATATTTATGAAACCAAATATTCATTAAACTAGATGGATGGTTAAGATTGATTTTTATGGTTTCTATTTGAAACTCCCTCTATATACATATATATTTAGAAGTGGCATTTAAAATCAAAATCGGACAACTAAGAATGTTACAGCATGCTGATCTTATCATCAGTGTCAAAATCTTTAGTGTGTGTGTCGGAGAGGAGAAAGAGGGAGAGAACCTGATCATATGCTCTCTGAAGAAAGGTAGATGGTATTATACAAAATGGCTTCAACCCACCACATGATAAGCCAGCAGAGAATGTTACAGCATGCTGTTCTGCCATCCCTACATCAAATAACCTGTCTGGGAACTTTTCCTGAAATAATTTAAGTGACGGGTCGATTCCCATTCCTGCATGAACTACCATGATATCTTTGTCTATCTGTGCTTCAGTGGTCAAAGCCTGGGCAAAGCGGTCGCCATAAGTTTCGCTACGATTATTGGGTTGTGAGTCCGACTCATAAGGCTCTGTTTCATATAAGAGGAAAATAACTAAATACTGGGTTTTGATAACAAAGAATTCACCAACAATGTCGTACTTCTTTTCAAAAGGTTTTATACATAAATTCAAATAAGATTTTTTAGGCCAACAATTTCTACTTCCCAAGTCTCTTTTTAGCTTATAGATTTCAATTCAGAAAATGTTCGTCTCACTGCTTAAAAATAGTCAAGACGTCAAATAGAGCAAACTAATTACGTGTCAACGGGTAGTTTAATCAATTATTTAACATTCTTAGATAACTACTGGTACTTTTGAGTTAAGGTGACCTATCCGCACCAGATGCAAATTGGGTGTGGATGCTGGATGCAGCTAGGGTGTGGGCGAATATGCACCAGGTGCACATGTATAAAAGTTAAACTAACTTTGGCATGGCTCGAGTGGGACTTGGTTAGGGATGAGATGCGACTTGACGTGTTTTCTTGAAGTGTTCAGCACAAATTTTATATTTTAAGTTCTGTTGTGCATACGTCTCCTAAGTTTCTGTCTGTTGTAGATCTCCTTATTGTTTCTCTCCTCTCCTCATGCACATAGAGATTAAAGTTTTGATTTTTTGTCTGCAAACTATATATGATGGACTTTTGATGGTTAAACACATGAACTTAAACCTAATGACCCACTGGAGCAAAGCCTTAAATCAAACATTTGACTTTCGATAAAGGTATATGGAAATTGGCCTAGTACAAGTTTAAGAGTATTGTATTCTCTGATTCGAATCTCAGGCCCTGGCCCATACACCCTCCAGAAGTTCAGGTACTAAAATGCAATCAACCCAAAATATGAGATTTTTTTTTCCTTTTGAAGAATGTATATTCAAAGAAGCATCTGTTTCAGTTTATATGTCGAGACATATATTAAAACAAGGACCATGAGGTTAGCCTGATTGCTAGTTTTCATTGCAAAAAAGATGTTAAAAAGAAAAAAAATGAAAATTAATGCAACCATTGATGCAACCATGTTCAAGGGGTTGGAGAAAATCGGAGAACAGAACATGACCTATGTTGGTCTAAAACCAAGGCTCCCCAAGAGAATTCAAGACATTCTCAACAATTGCTATGTGTGAATAACCGGCAAAAGGAATCTACAGCTAATAAAACCAAACTGACCTGGTAAATCCACTCAAAAAAGTAGCTTGGGGTGGGATGTATGCAAACCTCACCTCTACCCTAAAGGAGTAGAGTGGTTGCTTCCATAAATATCCTTGGCTTGTGCAAGAGTGTGAACAAACAAGTAGAAGAAACAAGGACTAACACATGGTGACAAATAGAACAAGAAAAATAAATAAGAAAACACAAGTAGGTGCATTGAAAACATACAAAAGGCAATGTAAGATAAAACACACGCAGAGAGGAAGGGAGAACATATACCGAGCAAGGCAAAAACACATCTCTAGCCTAAACTGCTAGCCCTCTAACTCCCAACCTCTCCAACTCCCTTCTGTACACCCACGCTAGCTACAGGGCCCACATGCCACATCTAGTCTACTACCCTAATCCTCCGTCTCTAGACTCCAAGTACTCCTATCGGAGGTTATGTCCTCAGAAATGTCTGAGGATGCCATATCCATCCTCAATTGCTCAACCCACGTTCTCTTCGGACTTCCCTCCTCACCCCCTCGACCGTCACTCCTAAAATAAATGAACAACTTTCATGAAAAATGTCCATGTTTGCACATTTGACACTAAATCAAACCTTTTGTAATAACTAATAAGTAGTTTTTTGTATATTAAATATGCATATATTAAATATTAGGAGGCGTTTGGTCCATTTTAAGGAATGAGAATCAATTTGTTGAGGAATGACAATGGGTATATTCATTGCATTGTTTTTATATTATTTCATATTGCTTTGCATTGTTCATGTTTGGTGATGAAAAAAACAACATTGAGAAGAAGAATTGTAGCCCTAATCACACCACCTCTTGAGTTTGCAACTCTGTTCCCCATCAATCTTCAAATCTTCAATCCAATCTAGACTTGAAGAACAGCAGAACGTTAAGGTTCTTTCACACACAAAATTATTGCAAATTGAGATGGAAATCAAAATGAAAATCTCAAACCGAATATGAGCATCAAACTGAAAAAAAAAAAAAATAGATGGATATCGAACTGAAAATCGAGATGGAGAGGAAGAAACGGTCAGCACCGGCGGATACAGAAAACAGCCATCACCAGCAAAAACAAGGAGGGTGGGGGGATAGGCGATAGTAAGAGACGTAGTTTTAGATTCCCCCATATTGGGGAGGAATGGTTTTACTAATACAATGATTGATTGAACTATAAAAAACCAAGCACCACCGATCATTCCACTCCCATTCCCTATTTGAACCAAACACCATCAATTATTAGCATTTCCATTCCCCACCTACTAATACCCTATCAAAGGCCCCCAAGTGTACAAACAAGGAGCGGAGAAAAAACAACTGGAAGATAAAAACTGTATATACATGGACGCTAAGAATCAATTTATATCATAGAGGAAAAAAGAAGTGAACTCATTGATGCAAATTCTACCTCAATGGGAAAATTTACTCCCTCCCCTCCTAAACAAACGGGATTTTATATTTATTACAAAAATGTCACAAGGAAAACATTACCCTATTTGGCAAATGTTTCAATGTAAAATTGCCTTTTTGCCTACAAGTAATCAAAATATTGACAACATTTAGTTTTACAAGATTCCCCCATTGTCATTATTGGGGAATATGATGGATGTCTAATAATTCCTCCATTGACTTCTTTCCTTTTTGAAAGGCTCCAAAATGAAGTTATCTATTTACCTGTCATTATTACAAAAATAATAATCGTGCTTATGTTAACAAGTTCCTTTTGTGTGTAGTCACCGGAGGGAGTATGTTAACGACTTACATTGAAAGTAACATCACAAATAGATCTTAGATATTGTTGAGTTAAGTTAGTGACAAGCTTAAAGATCCGAGGTTATCAAATGATAAAGATGATGACTTATGCTATAAATTATAAAATGAGTAAAGAAGGCATAAAAGCACATACCTTCTTTGTATTTGTTCGATATCCCAATCTGCTTCCCATCTTGTACTTCTTTATCTTCCTTAGTTATGACATGAACCAAAACAGGACCGGTAGAATCCAGGGATGCCACTTGATTAAGAACACATATAAGGTCTTCGATGTTGTGTCCATCCACAGGACCAATGTAATACAAACCAAGTTCTTCAAATAGGGTTGACCCTGGTGGACCAATCATACCACGTGCATACTCATCAACTTTTGCCGCCCATTCGTACATACCCTTACCGATTCTCTTTGTTAAACCCTACAAAATAAGATCAATAAATTGTATAATTACCAACAACACTCGAATTCTCAAGGTTGATTATGTTATAATCAACAATATCACACATGCACAACAACAATTACAGAAATGAACAAATCAAACAGTGGATTGACACAGTTCAACAATTTACCTACGTTCACATTCATGGCTACGATTCTTAAAAATCTTGCAAATATTTAGTAGGATATGCAGAAAAGAACAAAGAGCCAATTTATAATGACAATATTCCGACAGAAACCAGAGAAAAAAGAAATCAGTCATCCTAATTGCTCTAAGTGTCCTTGTAACCTTTCTCTTACAAAAATCAGTTGAAATTACAAAGGTGAATCACTAAGCATTTCGTTTTAATTTGCTACTAAGAGATTCATAACCATTGTAACTTATGGTTGATAACCTCAACAATATATGCTTCTTCCCCAACAAACAGGAAATAATTGGGATCAAATCCAAATACATATAGATAATATGACAAGAATGGTTAAGCATCTAAGCATTTTCAAATACGAGATAATTTCCAGTACCGGTAGATATTAACACTTAAAATGTTCCAATTAACTTGTAATATTTTTAATTTCTATTTGGGAGCTGCTTGGTTAAGAACTGGAAGGAACGAAAATGGTAATAATGATGAATGGTAATGGGAATGGTCTTTGCATTGATGATGCTAGGTTGATACTAGATAATCATTACCATCTCATAGTCATAGATGACACTCTATAATTATAAATAAGTCGTGAGGGTCCAGTAAGTAGGCATTATGTTTTGGTAAACACTTTTTGCATGAGTCCTGTGGAGAGATTCTGGCCTCTCGAAAGCCAGAAACCCGTTTGTAAGCACTCGACTGTGAGTAATACAGCCAGAATATTAGCATTAATTTTACCAAACCTTAGTGAAACGATTCCTATTGTTTAGCATCAAAACTATACATCACCCTTTTACTAACCGAACTTTTCCGAGTCTCCTGGCTAATTGTTTCAACCCCATCACTTCCCTGCGATACACACATTTTTAAGGAAAAATATTGCCGGGTTATTACAAGTTCTATGTACGTGTTGTAAGACACTTTTTTCATGCCAATTTCATTTAAAAACCAATACTTCCAAACAAAATCTCATGATTTCATGAATGCACCAAATCAGCAGCAAGTAATTGAGCTACAGATAAGTAATTTTGAATCGTCTCGGCCGCATATTCAAAATCCAAGTAATCCTGCAGTGGTTTAACCAGTTATCCTCGTTTGCTTCACCCTTTCATGAATATAAACTCAACCGGACCATGTACCCGGTAAAACAACTCCATAACCAACGTTTCTTATAAGAACTGAAATTTGCAATTATCAACATGAGTATGCATTATGAAACCATGAAACTTTCAGCAGGAAGAATGTGTTCATGTAAGCAAAAGACATATCCCTATTGTTTATCTCAGTATTGAATGAGAACCATGCAATCACCTTGACTTATATGGCTATTTTAAGGCTTGATTGTTGTTAATTTTCTATTTCCTTTGCTTCTAACTTTCCCTGTAATGCTCCTGCTCTTTGTTTCCCCTTCACGATTTTTCTGTGTGTTTTTGTGAGAATAATTCAGAGCTGAAAGGAAATGCAGTAGAGAAAGAATAACCCTTCTATTTGTAGGGTGATACAATGACATCAAATGCATATGGGAGAGGAGGTTGATTTCCTAAAGAAAACCGTCCATTTCATCTCCACTTAAACCCACTTTCCCACCACCTATTTAACTCCACTAAGCGAATAATTTTCGTTATAAATTTATATTCTCTTCTTAATTGAGTAGATCTATGCATAATAATAATTTGTTTTACATTATATGTTTTATTATAAATTCCTTGCTATAAAGATACTATAAATTCCTTCTTATATAGATAACTATATTGTTGGGTTCGTCTCATTTTTCTCAACATTTTGACATACATATATAACATGTAATTTATACCCATTACAATATAATCTTGGTTCCGAACTGAACATATCTTGACTTCATTTAGATAATGCTAACTCCTCAAACATTTATTATGTTTATCATCCACTACCGTATTACTTGTAGTTCCATGTTGATAATCTTACTCTTGGTTTAACCGTCGCTACATATTGTTAACCGATTAGTACATTGGAAGCATCATTTAACACCGTTTTGTTATAAAGTAAATCTGTATACTATTCACATAGAATCCAAGTTGACCAGTCTAAAATCCTTAGAATGCACTTACGGTGATTCTATTTAATCACACAACTAAGTTTTTAACCTTAGGAATAACTAACCAATAGTGAGCTGTTACACCCACCTACACCTACTGCAGACTTTATGGCCCTATAAGTGCACCCGTGCACCATTGAATTCTGAAGGTACATCCACCCTTTAGAAATGATTATTAATACTTGTCATTAACCGTGCTAACCTTGGTATGGAAGTTATGATGCTTAAATGGAATTCTTTTAGTTCTAATAAATCAGAAGGAATTTAATGACAGGACATGAATTCATTGTATGTTTGTAACAATATGGAAAGAATTTTAGCAACTCTAATGTGTGTTTCTCACCATTAGAAAAGTTATATGCATTATTAATCATTTCAAATCTGTGTATGATTGTGATTCTTGTAGTCTCATAAATTATCAAAATACAAATTGGAGAGAACTACATCAAGAGAACCTGCACAAGTTAACTTAGTTTTTAATAGGAGGGTTTCCTCGTTTAGATTTATTTTTATTATTTCTCTGACGAGCTTCCTTGCAAATCTTGAAAAGAGAAATATATATCTATCACTAGATACTATCAGTTCCCCAAAACAAAAATGTATTGTGTTATATTGTAATCCTGAAGCATGTCAATCATTTGAAGTAGAAAATAATTATTCTTTCACAATCATACTTGATTTAATAAAATGATCAAAGAAAATTTATACCTTGGCAACTTCTCTCCACTTCCGGAACAATTTGCTAGACTGCAACTTGCTTAGAGCACTTGAGAGCGCATTAATTGGCGTTTTAGGGGCCTCCTCAAGTTTAGGGTGTAACGACCGACGATTATCATTTAATATCACAACCATATCGGAATCCAGATATCCTGCATTGCTCATAGCCTCATAAAGCTGGCCAGCCATAGTGGTTTCATTGCTTATAACTGCAACTACTCGGTCTCTCTTCCCTTTAATATCTCGTGCAATGGCCATTCCTGCGTAGGAACACCTATGTATTTAAAACTTTACATGAAATTAAGAAAAGAATTCACTTGCAATGACAACTATGAACATGCTTTTGCAAAATCTTACTTTTACCCATATTATGAACATGGTTCAAGTGCGTTGAAGTCAATAACTCAAGATGAAAAAAGATAGAATAATATACCAAGTCCAGCTGAAATGCTGTTGCATCCATGCCCTGCACCAAAGGGATCGAACTCACTCTCGGAACGAGAAGTATAACCAGAAATTCCATCCTTTTGTCTAAGCGTATGCATAACAGACCTCCTTCCAGTAAGAATTTTATGTGCATAAGTCTGCTCGCATTTCAAAAGAATTATTTATCATTAAGTGTATCATACTGTATCTATCAACAAAAAAGCATCAAACTTCACACTATTGTCACACCACTCTGAGCTAACGTAAACACACATTGATGTAAGTTTTGTAAGGCTTCTACCCTTCTGTTTTCAGTTTTCAGTTTAGTTAAGAGGACCTCCTATAAAACACCTAAATATAGGTCAAAGCAGTAGTAGGAAAAAAGGATCTTGACATTCTTTTATGTTAGAACTTTTATATCAAGAATTGAAATTCAGTAGGCATACAATAAGCATTGATACGCCCTTACTTGCTCGCCGACATCCCACAATATTTTGTCCATGGGAGCCGAAAAGACACGGTGTATGGCAATTGTCAACTCAACCACCGACATGCTAGCTTTCACGGACTTTTGAGTTTCTTTCATTATAAATGACAATTCTGAGCGAATATCATCAGCCAATTGTTTCATTTCCTGTATAGAGCTCAGTCAGTGAGAGATGATGAGATTTCAAGAGAATATAAAGGATAAAGGAAAGCATAAACCTTGTGCGATAGGTTCTTTAAGTGCATAGGGCTTTCAATTGTATCAAGTATAGGTGTTGGGAGCTTCTCCGAAAATCCATCACCTACTTCAGGTAGAGCACATATTCGACCTACACATCCCTGTATCGAACAAATCAAAATGAAAATACATGGCACTTCCGATCAATGGTTGAGAATGTTTAGGAATTTAGTGAGACATGATACATGTCTACCAATGGAAAACAATTGATTAAAGCTTCTGGTTTGAACCATTTTAACGGTAGTATTGGGAATTCATGTCATACATGTAGTGAGCCTTATTGCAAACGAAAGCATAAAAATTCGGTGCTACACATATAAAATGATTTCAAAATTTTCCACTAGTGTTAATTAGTAACTCCGCCACTGAACTTATTAGTGTAAAAATGTTCCTGTTGCCCAAATACACTTGGAACATTCAAAGAAACTAGAAATGAAAGGAGTGACTAGCTTTCACAACCGTCATACTTGGTATTTTGTTGGAAATAAACCATTATTCTTCTAAAACCACCTAAATAAACACTAGTACACTTGGTGGGAATGAGCGACTTTTGGACAAATTATGCAAATGTGAATGCAAAAAAAAAAAAATCATACATGGCACTTTTGGCCCAAAATCTCTCATTCAAAATGAACTAAATTTTGGCATTTTTGCAAGAACGATGAATTTGCTTGCAAAAGATAGAAAAGCAAGTTCAATGGTCAGAAAAGTTAATCACTTGAACTTAAAAACAAATGACGTAAAAGGATAGAGCCATAAAATTTGAACCTTTGAACCATAACCATATGTGTTATTAGAGAATCATCTTACCATAATAAATCACCTGGAATAAATGCTCTCACACTAATATTAAGATATGGGGCAACTAATATTCCAATGCTTAAAACTCATGATTTCCTATATTTTGTTATACCATGTTCTGCCCATATGATCCTACAAACATTCATCGAGATTCAGAGTCCACTTTGGAGTTTAAGAGTCAATCACCTACATAATGTGTATGCGATTAAATATTACTGGATAACTATTTAAAGAAATAAAATATTGGTGTTACAAGGGTCAAAAGTTTCATATAAATTATGAATTTTACCCTTCGATCAAACATCGAATAATAGAAGTTCAAAAGCATGCTAATTTGGCTCAAAATGTAGGAGCATACTCGTTTAGAAGTCCAGAATGAAACATATGTGGGTGTATTTAAATGCATCTAAAGTGATTATCTTGATTTTTAAGTAACAATTAGCACTTTAGAGTACTCGGCAAATTATTATGATTTTATGATCATCATTGGTGATTAAAATGATCATATTTGAAGACACATGGAAAGAAATCAGGAATTGCCCTAAGAAACCTGATGATTGAAACAAATGTAAATTACCTGACTATCCCTATCCATGATCTTAATCAACTAATTGTTTTCTAGTTCTTCAAATAGCAATAATCACCTTTGAAACGTTCAAACACTCGTAGGCTTATTTCAACCGACCCATATAACATGAATTAGTAGCAATTAAGCACTTTCCATCAATAATTGAAGACCGGTCAATCCTCATTCTTGACCAACCCCCAATTATAACTAAGCATCAACAAAAAAATAATAATGAATACAAGTAGAATAATAAACAAAAGCAAAGTATTTCCTCATAGGGGAGGAGAAACAATCTAAAAGGATAACCTACCATTTGAAATTGTTAATTTAAAAGGCGACCCCCCTTAAATTGTGAATATAAACAACAAAAACGACGAACATGGAAGTAGTGTACCTTGAAGAAAATTGATGAAGCAGAGGAGGAATTGAAGCTAATCTTGAAAAATTCCCCGTCGGAATGGAAATTAACACTTGAGAACTCCAGTTTAGAAGGAAAGTGTCTTGAATTTTCATGGAAACGAGCATTGACGCCCAAAGAACAATGTGCAGAAGCAGTCGTCATCATCAGAAATCGACGAAAACCCACCTCACCCAAGAGTGACTGGAATTGAAATATGATCAGGCACGTTAATTACAAAATTGAACAAGAAAAGAGGTTGGTGGTGGATATTTTGATGAACACGGAATAAATAAAGACTAAATTAAAACAGGAGAATCTATGTTTTAGCAGAAATTAGGGTTTGCTGCGTATTGGAATGTGAATCAGTGAAGTGGCCAGGGACTATGCAACGGAAATGAAAGTTACTAATTTTGTAGGGAAGCCGGCCCCTCACAATATTAGGATTTTGGAGGTGACATCCGGCAATTGGCAGCAGCACAAAAATAAACATTTTCGCTTTTATAAAAACATAACTTGTTTCAAATAATCAACCTCGAACACTCATTTAATGGATAAAAATTAACTTAATTATTTCTTAAGAGGTGTTGAAATCTGAAGTTTGATTTTATTTTTTATTTATAAAAGGTGGTGTTGAAGTCTGAAATCTAAACCAGTAATACTGTATGTTTCAAATAAGCAACCTCAAACACCCCTTTAATGGATAAAAATTAGCTCAATTATTTTTTAAGAAGTGCTGAAATATGAAATTTGATTTCATTTTTTATTTATAAGAGGTGGTCTTGAAGTCTGAAATCTAAACCAGTAATATTGTTTGCTTCAAATAAGCAACCTCAAACACCCCTTTAATGGATAAAAATTAGCTCAATTATTTCTTAAAAGCTGCTGAAATCTGAAGTCTGATTTCATTTTTTATTTATAAGAGGTGGTCTTAAAGTCTGAAATCTAAACTAGTAATACTGTTTGTTTTTTTTAAATTGACAAGCGTCTAAAGCCTGAAATTAAACTTAAGATTTCCATAAACATCTCCTTTAATTGCAACTATCTGTAGTATGTGTTCTTGATCAGCTAAAACAACCATGGCGAGCAACCGTTTTGAGCCATTGATCCTTAATAAAAGCAGAAACTAACATATGGGTTCGATTGATTGATAGCGACTAAGATATCTTTAAATAAACTAATATAAATTACTTTAAGCAACATATGACCTTACAAAGATCTTCTCAAGACCTTTAAAAAGACACAAATCTTGATCATAATTGAAACTAGGAAACATTTGGTAAGATTAAATTGCAGATTAAACCAACAACTTTTTGAGTTCGTTCTCGAACGAGGCATAATCATCAAATACTCATAGATGCATCAATCAAACTACAAAAAGAGAAATATATTGCCAAAATGCATTATACACATAGATAGACGATCAGTGAGAACCAGGTTAGTGAAAAGAACAAAGGGGTCAACAAGCAACTTCAAGAGTAAACTAAAGCATTCTCTAAAAAAGCAAGAAAAATACCCAAAAATGCAGTGATGGGTTGAATGAAAGGTGGGGAAAAACCCACCTCAAAAAACTTTACACAGATGAGGTATGAGAAGAGAAAGACCCTCAAAATGCAGAAATTGTTTTCCCAACTCCCCACTCTCCCTCTCTTTGGTTATGTGAAACTTGTACAGTACCCAAAAAAAACCACAATCCCGACAAGGGCCAAAATCAGAGGACGAAATCAACTACCAGGGACGAAATCAAAACAGGGAAGAAAACCACGAAAACTTACAGGGACGAACCATAGGACGAAACCAAAACAAAAATCTAGAGGGGAAATTGACATACCTTGAAGATTCATGATTTGTTTCGAGATCTGTTTGTTTGCTTCGATTTGGTCGATCCTGTTTGAGAGAACTGGAGGAGATGGAGGTGTGGTAAGGGAATAAGAGGATTTAAAAGATCAAGTTACCACTTTTTTGTTCAGACCATATTAAGAGATAAGAGGCTCTGAGAATAAGAAAAAAACAAACAGTTTGAAAATGTAAATTTCTGATTGAATCATACTTCAGAGGTGTTTAAGAGGAGATTTCTGAAAAAACAAACAGGCCCTTAGTATTTCTAAGTTGTTTTGTCACTTTTCTTAAATTATACTCTAACTAGGAAATGTTATCGCGCTTCGCGCGGTCGTGTTACTTAATGAAGTAAAACATCGAGAGGTTTGAAGTAAATATACAGTGGTAAAAGTATCACAATRATAATGTTAGAATTGTATGTTTTGTAAGCATAAAGAGAGTTGCAATATATTGTTTAAGGGAAAATGAATATGTAGTGTGAAAGAATTTTAGGTTGTAATGGAGTATGTGATTTAAGAAATTAATAAGTGAGAAGTTTAGAGATCATATTTTGTAATGAGCATGCTATTAAATTGTGAAATGGTACGAAATACATTTGTGTAGGATCGATTAACTCGRTTTCTTGGTATTAATTACTTACTTGGATGATCTGTTTGACAGGGATAATGCAGCGGAAAAGATATGAATCAACCAAAGTAGAAATCAATAAGAACACAGTAATGAAGATTGATGAACACAAGAGAGAACTTCAAATGATTTTCAATAGATGAAAAATGTTAACAATTACAATACGGAAGCTCACTGAAATACAATTTATACAAGCAAATAACCGTTTTCTGACATGACCTAAAGCAAATTAATCTAAGCCGTTAGATCATTAACAGGTTACAAACAAGAACACGTGATAAGCACGAGCA